AAACGATATGCTTATGGGAGATTGCATGTACTGGGAAGGATTTCAACAATGGGGATACAATCCATTCGAAGGAGTTAACGGGACTGACTTCTCATTGTCCGTGGATCTTGATTGTTGACCGATCATTCAACCTGAAGATATATCAACTATGGAAGAAGAGATTAAAGAGAATGACGAGTTGATCACAAAGGAATCAAATGAGGATGTGACAAACAATGAGAATGAAATCAACTTAATTGGGGTCCTAAAACATTGATATTTAATAGTTCTTTTGACAAAATATATTCTAAATTATTGTATTTTATGTTATATAGGTAAAACTTAATGGTTAAACGAGTAATTGAAATAAATAAGCGAAAAATGGTGAAAAATGGCAAAATTCAAAATTTAAGGATCAAATTGCAAATTCAATAGTTGATTTGTACTACAAGATGATACTTTGAAGATTGTTAGGAGACAATTGGATTGAATTAGAACTCAAAAAGGAATGGAATATGATCAAAATCGATTTTCAATAGCACAAGTTATATTCCAGATTTTTAGTCGAGAATTGATACCTATTTTTGGCATAGTAAATGTCCGAATTGGGAAAAATATTTTTGTATTAAACTTGTAGCCCTTTGGATTATATTTCTAACTCACTTTGAATTGCAACAATTGAATATTGGGAGAGAAAGTTACGATCAAAATACTGAGTGCTATGCAGAGGCAAAAAATTCGCGCGCGATAATAACTTTCCTTATTCGATTGGAACTCTTTTGGAAGTCAATTTGGACGTGATTTTCAACCAATTTTCGACTACTACAAATATATAATAGCAGAATACATATTGAAGAACTCTCATGTACATATTATATTCCATTATTCATCAATTATTATCATCAAATGAGAAGAATTCATAATTTTTGTGAGAGAATTGAAAAAATTTGCAAGAATTCAATCAAGTAACGATTAAACCTAATTTTTGGACAAAGAAGAGAAGACGCAAATGGAGATTCATCAAAAAAACCATTGAAGAAATTCAAGATTTCAAAATTCATCTTCTTAATTTATCAAAAATTCGGGTGATGTATTTTCACTTAAATATGATTTCTTGCAATTTCAATATGCTAGGCTAATTTTATACATTGTTAGG